GGTTCCGACTCGATGGCACCCGACAACAACGACAACAACCTGAACTTACTGATCTTGCTCACCATGCTGGTATCCCACATATTACTAAGGAAATCATGTGTAACCAAAGAAGTTAGGCAGTGAGTTGAAGTTCATGCGCAGATGTTTGACCTTCTATCCAACCACCTATATGCATCTGGCCATATGGAACATTCCCATGGGCTATTAAACAGTTGGTTATGGTGTCAACTAGGTGACAATACCTTGTAAGTCTGAGAGACTGTCCTATAAGATGTATTATCTTCTCTGAGCCAGTGACCACTCTCTGGTACTGTTTCTTCCATAATCAGAATACATGCGTCCAGGAATCAGGATAAAAGAGGAACATGTATCATTATTACTCCAAATGGCCTCTTCATTGCATTTTTTTTCCTTCATTGCATTTTTGCTCCGTATAAGTTTGGGTTTTACTGGCTAGAGGTGTCAGTATCCAATGTAGGCATACTTGTACCAGAAGACACAGCAGTGGGTCCTTTGAACTGGAAGTTGAGACTGCTACCTGACATTTTAGACACTGATGCCTATGGACTAGGAAACAAAAAGCATTCGTGCGCTGGTCAGTGGGCTTACTCCTACTAATCATGAGGGGAAATTGGGTCACTGCTATAAATGGGGCAAGAGGGGGACATTTCCGGAACATAGGGCATCATCTGGGGCGGAGGAAAACAGTGATGAAAGTCTATAGGTAGACCAACAAGGGCTCAGACACTTAAGGGATGAAGCTTTGGATTACCCTGCCAGGTTAGCCAAGCTGCTGACTGAGCAAAAGGATTATTCCGGTTAGCTGAAATACTGAGTGAGAAATGGGAAATGGAGAAAGCCATTGTAAACATTAACGAGGACCTTATGACCAGCTGCAGAAACAATGCCTGTATTTACACAACCAGTTGGCCTCCCCCTCCCTTCGCTTTCCTTTATTAAACACAATGTGGTCATAACCAACTTTATAATTAGTCCTTAGGATAAAAGTTGTCATGGTGAATGCCATTTAACCAGAAGAGGAATAAACACTACCCAGTGTTTAATAGTTCTGCTTTTAATATCTCATGAGGTTAAGTAAAAATGTGGCTCCTGGGTTTCCAGTCCATACATGCATGAGTTTATTCCAAACAAAATAGGTTTAAACATGTCTCTGCCATCAGCGGACAAGTTTTCTCAATACCAAGGGGCTTTAAAAAGTTCATGGAAAAATAGCACTAAAAGATCATGGAATTTTTCCACAGAATTTTTGAAGCC